CCGGCTCCGCTCCCGGCTCGGCTGCGCATCGCGGGAGCGCTCTGCCAGCACCTGCAGCCGCGCCGCGGCCAGGACAGCGCGGGGACTGGGGAGCCGGGGAGTGGAAGCAGGTAACAAGCGGATTTACCTGGGTCCGGAGAATTTTTTTTTGGCCCCGAAGTCCCTAAATCCGTGCCCTCAAAACCGAGAGCGAGTCAAGCGGCTTCTCCGGCACAAGCCAGCCGGCGAGCGCGCACGCACCGCACACACACACACACACACACATACACACACAAACAAACACCCCCCCCACACACACACACGTACACACCCCACACACACGCACCCCACGCGCACGATCTGGCTCTGGGAGCAGGGGGTGCTGCAAAACCCGGACCCGGCATCAGCATCTCTTCACCCCCCCCGTTGCGGCTGCAGCGGCTCCTCTTTCCCAAATTGCCGTGGCGAGCTCTCGTCCGGCGCCGTTGGCGATTTCCACACACGCGTGGAGAAGTTGGAGGCTTTCTGCCGAAGTGGGCTGGCAGGTCACGGCAGCCGTGTGCCTCAGCCCCTACACGCTCTGGAAAGCCGCCCCGAGCGCTGAGCAGCTAAGGCCACAGCTAAGGTGATCATTCACACTGGCTAGACTGGTCCCGCTGCCAAATCGCGATGTTATGGTAGAGCGTTTGGCTGCCTTTAAAAAGGCAAGATGTTGGATGCGCGTTATTGTGACTTCGCCTAAGCGCCGTGCGCTGGGCGCACATCTGTTTGATGGGAAAGGATGGCTGCTCACGATCTCTGTCTCGGAAGGTAAAACTTTGGGTTCACACTGGGCAAACAAAAAAAAGAGACGCTCCACAATGATTTTTTAAAGTGCTAATATGGCAGGGTGCGTTACTACCAGATCCTTATAGGGAACTATTCACACTTCACTTAGTCCTTAGAACGTAGAGGTTTGCTGCCAAAAGAGTGCTGGGCTTGGCAAAAGTGGTACTGTCATCTCGTGTTATTCGTCGGCCATTAAGTATCAGAGCCCACATTTTAGGAGCAGCCAAAATGTATTGTCTGTTCTTATGGGGGGCTTGAGATCCGAAAATGTAGCTTCCTGCAGCTGCCGGCACAGATGCCTTTGTGGTGCTACTGGGCAGGAATAGTGCTGGAGTTTGCATTCGGGACTGGAGTAGCTGCAACTTCCCTATCTAAAATTTGGAGAGGTTGTGGAAAAAGCAAGAGCGTGCCACATTGGAGCATGTTTTTGATGTGGTGCTGCATGAATTTCAACTAGGTTGGGATTCTGAAATGCACTCAGAGCTGCTCCATTTCTAACTCTCTTTATCCAGCTAAACTCTGGAGCAAAAATTGCCAAGATCAGGAAAGATGTGTGTAGCAGATCTGGGGTTTTACAACACTAATACACCAGCAGCCAGATTATTATTCTGCAAAATTTTTTTGCTTGTTTTCTGCTTTAAACGTTAGAGTATGGTGTTTGGGGAGCAAAATTGGACTCGTTACAGAACATAGCAAATCTTATTTTCAGAGCTTTCTAGCACAGTCTAGGGGCATGAGCCTAAAAAGAGAAGGTAAAAGTAGACCCAGCTTGATTTTTTTGTTTTGTTTTTCTGAAGGGAGCATATTCATACACACACCTGCCCACACTGACACACGCACAAAGACACACACACGTTCCTGTAACCTACCTTCAACGCCTCTCACCTGAGCAGCCCCGCACAGCGTTGCCAGCACTCACAGGGCTCGCTCCAACACACAGCAAAAGCTGAAGGCAGAAGTAAGTCCAATGCGTTTTTCTCTCATCTCACAGCACACATTTGTTTCATGTCCGTGAGTTTCAGTGACGTGCAGCTTTCTGGTGAGCAGGCATCATGTCCTGGAATTGGCTCATGGGGCAGCATATACTGTCCCACTTGCCTGTGTTTACTAGTACAGAGGAAATGTGTTTGTGGTAACTGCTGATGCTGCCTTGGAAGGGAAAGTGTACGCACGGCATGCCTCAGCAGTAATTACCAGATTCATGTGGGATGGAAGGAACAGCATGTTAGGGGATTGCAACAGTAATAAGACACAGAGATGATACTGATTCTATTACACTGCAAATGCATGCATATAATAACCACTGTTGTAGGAGGAGGAACAAGGATTTAAAAAAAAATAGCTACAGCTTTTTATTTAGGAACAAAGTCATGATTTCTCAGCATGCCTGAAGTGTTTTATAATCCCTTCAATTAAAAACATGGAGTATAAAAGAACAGCTTTTTTTCCCCACCTGTTTTACTGCCTTTTTATTTGGCATGTTGAATGCGGGAACATTTTCAGGCTGTGACTACCTGGGAGCCTCCAGGAATGGAAGGCCAGGAGGCAGGTTGATACAGCAGCCTGTGAGGGTTTGGGAAAACTCAAGGTTACGCCTGATTTGTAAGCATTGTCAAGGTTTCTTTTTTTCCCAAATACTTTGCTGTATTCCCTCATCCTCCTTTTTGGAGCAAAGTTATGAAGTCTGAGTACACATTCATAAACTTACAGATTCACAGATTATAAGGCTTAATAGAACCATTGTGGCTTTTGGATCTTGCATAACCCAGGCCATCAGCTAAATTGGAATTAATTCCTGTTTAACCTAGATCATACTTCCTAGGAAAAAGAAAAATAAAAACAAAAAACTGAAAAAACCAGTAACATATCCAGGCATATTTTAGCACTTGCCTGTGATGAAAATCTGCCATAATGTTTGGTAAATTGCTCCAATAGCATTCATCTCCCACAAGTAAAAAATTGTGCTTTCTGTACAACTCTGGATCTGGCTACTTTCAGTTTGAAATTTTTATCCTTGTAATGTCCTTGTCTGCTGGCTTAAGAGCCCTTAATTATCCCATACCTGTTTCCTGTGGGGCCACTCCCAGACTTCTGCAGAGCAAGTATGGACTAAACACTTGCCTGATAGCAGCCTTAACCAACTTCAAATAGTCTGTGTTAGTCCTGTGCTGGTACATCCACCAGAGCAGCTCTTGGCTCCTGCATGGTCCTAAAGCCACCACTTTATCTGGCTGCTGGCAGGGAAAAAAAAGCCAGACCACGGCATGAAGCATGAGCACGTAAATTTTGGCACAGATCATTACCCTTCCTGCCTAGTGCACATCATGCTGTTGTCCTTCTGTGAGAGTAAATATCAAGGAGCAGAATAAGACTGGAAATGTGGAGATCATTTTCTTTTTCCACATTCTATCTGCAAATGGATGCTAAACACTACTTATGCATCTTTACCTACCAGTTTATCTGTTTCTGTTTCTCTGTATATAAATGAAGAAGGAGCAAATATATCCACCAAGTCTCATGAAATAAAGAAAAGAATGCAGCAAGAAACTAAGCAAAAATCTCTATGAATTGGATGGAGGGCAGGATTTAAGTTTTACTGATCATTAGAAACTATCAAGGTAGCCTGGGTGCTGGTGGTGTGTGAGGAGGGATTTATTCCTGTATTATAAACAGATGCCAGTATTGATTTTTGTGAACAAAACATGATGACTAATGTGGTAGAACAATAGGAATTTGCAAATTTACGTATGTAGTGATCTCATGTGTTCCTCATCCTGTGATCCTGAACTGCATAATATGAGATGCCTACTCCATGTCAGCTTTTAGGGTTCTGAGATAATCATCTTTACTATTCAACGAGTACTCTATATTCTTGCTTTCCAAGGGGATATTTCTCTGTATGCCTGTGTGTGTGTATGAGTACCTATTTGTAGCTGGAGACATTCTCCCTCTGTCAGTACGTACATTTTTGGAATCTTTCCTGTACTGTAAGTGGGATATTTTTGTGCCTCACTTAAAAGTAATTATTAAGGAAATAAACAGTTTCCAGATTTAGCAGTGAGCAGTGTGCAAAATAATTGTTACTTGTAATGCAAGGTTTTATCTCATCCAGCAGCCCTGGAAAGTATGCTGTAAAGGAGAGGGTGAAAGAGGAGGCTCCAGCTTTCACTTGCTTTCTTTGGGCAAGGGATGGGTGAAGGAGGGTGAGAGCATGAAAGGGAGGAAGGAGCTGGCAGGCTCTGCCCTCCACGGCCCTGGCGTCCATCCCTGCTCACCCACGCTGCCCAGCAGCAGCGAACTG